ATTCTCCAAATCCAACTCCAAAAATTAAACAATCGTCAGTCTCAACTCCGAAATTGCAATCATGTATTAGTATTGAACGGGATCCGGGAAAAAGAAAGCAAATGTTTGAACGTCTTATCAATCTACGAGATGAGATTAGAATTGCATATATAAAAGTTGAACCTTATTGGTTGAAGCTTGAGGAGTAACCAATGATAGAAGGAAAAAACAAGCTTGTTGCTTTCAGAAAAAATGGTTCACAGAATTTCCTTGGTTGGAGTATTCTCCTTCAACTGAAAGGGCATATTACTTTTACTATTTTCTTTCTCAGAAAGAGGGTAATTCTTCTGCCTGTTTGGGATTGGTTACCGAAGGATATAATAAATGGAAGAGGGTGAAAGATGGAAATAAATATGCATTTCTTGTTCATACTAATTCAACATATCATAAACTGTGTGAGACTAGAGCTAAAGATTTAACCAGACCGTCTCAGCATATTGACAAGGTAATGAATACTGTATCGGAAGAGGAAATTCGAAAATGTCGTTTGCGTAATGACTTCAACTAAAAGTGTTCGATGTTTAGCATTTCAAAGTTTAGGGTTCAGAGGTAATGATGAATTTCCATCTTCACATAATCATGGGAATTTTATACAACTAATAAAGTATGTGCTCAATATGAACTTCGGGTAAACAAAATAAGAGGACAAGGGTATGATGGCGCTAGTAACATGCAATGTGCTTGGAATGGACTTCAAGCATTGTTTGTTAGAGATTGTCCATATGCATACTATGTTCATTGTTTTGTTGATCGATTATAGTTAACATTGGTCGCGGGAGCTAAAGAAGTCAATATCATTTGGAACTTCTTTTCTCATTTGGACAAGATTGTCAATATTATTACTTCTTCTCCTAAACGTGTCACTGAGTTACAATTTTCTCAGAGAGGAAATTCAACGTATGTTGGCTACCAGGGAGCGTGAATCTGGAAGTGGGGCTAATCAAATGGTTAATTTGCAGCGATTGGGAGCTACTCGTTGGAGCTCACATTATAACTCTATAAAGAGTTTGATAGATATGTATGGTGCAACTCGCAAAGTGCTTCAATATATTTGTGATCATTGTTCAAATGGCAGATCTTAGGCTGAAGCTCCTGGTGCTTGCAAAAAGTTGGTGAGTTTTAAGTTCATATTTATCTTGCAATTGATGTATAGAATAATGAAAATCAGTGATGTTCTTTGTCAAGCCCTTCAAAGATCTCAAGAAATCTTGGCTATTTAGAGGTTTGTGTCTACCACTAAATAATTGCTTCAAAAATTGAGAGATGACGATTGGGAAGAATTTCTTCAAGAAGTAAAATCCGTTTGCTCAAAGAATAATATTACAATACCCGATCTAAAAGGTTTGTATAACACTTGCCGTTCTAGTGATGAAACTACAATTGATCATTATTATCACTATGATGTTTTTGTTGGAGCAATAGATTTTGTAACGATGGAGTTAAATACAAGATTTAATGACATATCTGTAGAACTCCTTTCTCTCAGTGTAGCTTTGGATCCTAAAGATTCATTTAGATCGTTTGACAGTCGAAAAATTTGCACACTTGCTGAGAAATTCTACCCTCAAGATTTTTCGGAGCAAGATATTATTAGATTAAAATATGTGTTGCCACATTATTAGTTAGATATGAAGGGCGAGTCTCAATTTCAAGTACCTACACTTGCTGAGTTATACAAACAGTTGATTGAGAGTGGAAGGTCGGAGATTTACATTATGATGACTAGATTGATTCGTCTTGTATTGACATTACCTGTTTCTACCGCAAGTACTGAGTGAGCTTTTTCAGCGATGAAACATGTGTAGACGACACTTCGCAACAAAATGGAGGATGATTTTCTTGCTGATTGTATGATACTTTTTATAGAAAGAGAATTTTCTAAGAAAATAGATCTAGATTCTATTATAGACGAGTATTATGTTTCAAATTCTCGTCGGGACGACTTAAATAAATAATGTTCTTTAACGAGTTTTTTTTTTTTAGTACGTATAAATTTTATTACATTCACTTTATCAAGTACTTTCAGCCCCCCTATGAAAAATCTTGGATCTGTCCTGATATGTGGAGAAAATTATGAATCCATGGAGTCACAATTTATTCTTTCCTTATTCTCAAGCACGTTTAAATGGGAGAGAGCGGAACTGCAAGCAGATATTTAGGGAATGAATGTGTTGAGAGAGAGAGAGAGAGAGAGAAAAATTCACTTGTCCTCTAATAACCATCAATTAAGGTCAAATTCTTATCTTACACTGGTCATATTCTTAAATATTGTATTGGTGCTATAAAAATAATATTTGAAGATGTGATAATATAAAAAATAATTAATACAAATTGTTTATGTAGAATGAACTTTTGATCCAAATAAAATAAAAATAAGTTTGTAAAAACAGTTTAGATTATTGAGGAAGTCAATTAGAATAGTCTCTCCATTTACCATTTTGATATGAACTGAACATTCAATGAATACCATCATTTCTTTATATTCGCTTAATATGCCCGGAATATATCAATTGAAATTATTTATTATAGATATGAATTATGTTCTCCCATTTACCCTCTCCGTATCTTAACATTTATTGAATAAAAAAATTGGAAGGAAATTCTAAAATTATTCATCTTTTGTTCCCAAAAAATTAGATTTAATTTACTTTCAATCAAGTGGAATGAATCTGTCAAATGTACATTGATTATAACTAAATAATTGACAAAATAATTCATGATAAATAGTTCAAATGACTAAATAAATCAAATACGTATTGAAAATTGAAAAGGTAATAAATTTGTCAAATTTGGTTAGATAAAATTAAATATATATTGAAAAAAATGAAAAGTAAGGTAGTAAACGTGTCAAATGTACATTCATCATAACTAAGTAGTTGATTAAATAATTAACAGTGATATTATTCAACTGGTTCAAATGTTTAATAAATTAAATGCATATTGAAAAATGAAAAATAAGATATTATTGAAATAGTTGAATTATAATAAGGATAAAATTGTCCAAAAAATCATTCTTACTTGATATAATATTTAATATACTATAGATAAATTAATTATTATCTACTTTCTTATGAAAATCTTGAATTATAACTTGAACTATTAGAAGTTCCTCAAACTTTGATATTCCGAATATGTAACCTTAAAGTATGATGATCATTTTTTGTCCTCTTTAAACTTGAAGAGTTTGTGTAGAGAAAGTTAGACGTTTAATTTAAAAATTTTGTTAATTCTAAAGTGTAAAACAAGAATTTCTTACACTGGGGTCTCTCTCTCTCTCTCTTTTTAATATTGTCATTTATGTCGAACCCTATTAAGTAAATTATTACATATTCAATTTGGAAGAGTTTGTGTAGAGAAAGTTAGACGTTTAATTTAAAAATTTTGTTAATTCTAAAGTGTAAAACAAGAATTTCTTACACTGGGGTCTCTCTCTCTCTCTCTTTTTAATATTGTCATTTATGTCGAACCCTATTAAGTAAATTATTACATATTCAATTTGGAAGTAAAACATGTCTCCAATATCTCATGGTTCGTCTCTTTGTATTTTTGTTAAAAAAATCTTATTCATGGCTTTGCTATGCGATGGCTTGTCGTATATTGATTTTCATAACATTAAATTGGTTCAAATCTAAGGGGACGTCCTCAATTGAAATTGCAATGGATTTTAAAAGACATTCTAAATTTAGGTATCTTCAATTGAGATTTTATTGGATTTTAATTAAATTCATTAAAATTTAGGTGTCCCCAATTGAAATTTTAATGAAATCTTTTAAAATTTAGGTATCCTCGATAATTAATGAATTTATATAGATTTCATTAATAGAAGGATTTTAAAAAATTTGGATGGATTTCAAGCTTAAAAATACATATAAGTAAATCTTTTGAAATTTCACCATATTTGCAGGGGTATTCTCAACTAAGATTTTAAAATTTTTTAAAGGATTATAAATTCTAATGAATTTTGTGGATTTTAATAGATTCTTACAAATTCCATAAGAATTTTATAAAATATGGTGGAATTTCAAAAGATTTGCTTATATGTATTTTTAAACTTGAAATTGATCCAAATCATTTAAAATCCTTCTATTAATGAAATCTTTATAAATTTATTAATTATTGAGGATACCTAACTTTTAAACGACTTAATTAAAACCTCAATTAGGGATACCTAAATTTGAATGGATTTCATTAAAATCCAATAAAATATTAATTGAAAATACCTAAATTTAGAATGACTTTTAAAATCCATCACATCTTAATTGAGGACACCCTCTTTGATGAGATTCTTATGAAATTTGTAAGAATCTATTTAAATCCACCAAATTCATTAGAATTTATAATCATTTAAAATTCATTAAAATTTTAGTTGAGAGCACCCTCTAAATTATTTTCGTAAGCTTTTTAAATAAATAAGGAATGAATATAAAATTGAAGTGTAGGATACTATTGTTAAATCCGACTTTAGTGCCACATCATTATACTTGTCGAGACAAATGACCTTATCCAAAGCCAGCAAAGGATCAAATATCAGACCCTTGATGATCAGCTGAAGTTCGATGGACGATCAACCTAGTAGACGATTGAGTTGGACATTCATGTTGTAGAGTGAAAGTCGAGCAACTAGTTTTACACAAGAAAAAGTTTGGTAACTCGTTTGAAATTTTGCTACAATTCTAGAGACCGCCAATATCATTCACGAATTGTTTGAACTTCATTGTTTGGAAGAATATATTTTGTAATAGTAATTTTTTGAAAATATGTTATCAAAAAATAGAAAAAAAATAAAATAAAATTGTAAATGTATTTTATGAGAAGGATGAACAGTTGAAAATAAAATTTTCAAGAATGGGATTCAAACATGGAGTTACTTTCTTTTCCTTTCGTAATAAACTAAGCCTTGCTCAAGCATTGAAGGGACCTAATTGAAATAAATTAGAGTTCAATGACCCAATTAAGACTTCGCTAAAAAGTCAGCAATTGCAAATGAAATTTACAATGACTAAATTAGATATTCCTCAGCTTCCAATTGAAAGACAGAATAAAGAGGGTAACAAAAGAAAAGTATCAGTAACTTAAAACGGAAATCCAGAAAAAATCCAGATGTAGTATTGGCTTTTCACTAAAAGTTCAGCAATTGCAAATAAAATTTGCCCTGAATAGAGTCGAAATTCTCACCATCCAATTAGAAAAACAAACTTATCAATGAATTTCTTAGCCAAAAATGGATCCAGATGGACTGAGTATTGGCTCTTCTTTCGAACTTATTTCAACTATTTTAGTCGAATAAAAATTTGAGGGACAAGTAGTCCTACAGCACATTGAAGTTGCCCGGTATCCTTGTGCTGCATGTTGGACACATTGAGCCAATTGCACCTGCTGCTTCCATTTCATGCTGGTTAGTCTCATGATAGAACACATTTCTGCACCAAACACAAACACTAGAGCTCTTACTCCTATTCTCCTCTGTATTTGGCATCAGAGCATTGTTTCCCAGCCAAAATGAGGAATCGAGTCCTTGCTCCATATTTGAGTTGTGCGAGAAAACATTGGACTCCATGGGAATGACATTTGAACTGTTTGAACCCAAGAAACTGTATTCAACTGGTTCAGATCTACCTGAGCTAATTCCTTCAACATTGGCGTTGATATTGTACTTCTCCTGAACTTCGATTAACCCTTGTGCATCCTGCCCACATAAGATATGGGTGCAATAAGTAAGTATAGAAACAGAACCAGGGAGGCAAGACTTGCTTCATCAATTGGGTCAAATTTGAGGAAATGAAATCAATCCCTGCCAGTTCTGAATTAAAATGGGGAAATTGAACCTACAACTATAAATCAGCCAATGCTACTGACAATCTGACCTGAAGTAGAAATGATTCATCAGTGAAAAATCCCAACCATATGATTAGTAAATTTTGATTTTCAAAATGGACGGAGGAGGAAAAACTGATACTGAAAAGCAGAATGCTTGTTTACAAGATTACGTGGTGTGATTAGTTTGTAAGCAGTGACAGTTGTGTACCAGAGTTGGTATGTAGATACCAATAGGGGGCATAGAATACATATGGTAAGCTACAACAATGGTTAAAGAGCTGAACATAGTTAGGTTAAAAACAATTACGCATTGCACCCGACACTTCATGACAGGCAACTACAGATTAAGCAAGAATTCTTGTGATATGATAAAAATTCATTGCTCAAGATAGTGCACCACATTTGAACAAATGTGAGCTTAAATAAATCTTGTTAAAGAGCAAAAAATGATAAGACACGATCTTTACAAGTCCTAAGCTATACAGTGTAAATTGCACGGTTGAACCTTGTTCATGCATGTATGATAAAACCTGAACAAATATTGCACATTAAATTTTCATAATGTGTACCTGATCTGACATTATATGAGAGGCATGAAAGGAGCTTGATGGTTGCACTTGTGGACTTGTAGTAGCAGTACCATGCAAGACATTTTGTTGACCAGCTGTCCAAATTCCAGCAGCCATGACACCCTCAACAGGACGCAGATTGTTTCTGCCAAAACCAATTATGAATTCGTTGCCAGAATTTCCTATCTGATTGCCTCTGGGTCCATCCCGGTCCCTACCTGAATGAGAAAGAAACAGTTCACTAGTCCTAACATTTTGGACGCCATCAACTTCAAGCATTTCCATTTTTCTACTGCAAACCTTGTCTTCAAGATGTTCAGTACCAGTGATCCTCTCATGATCAGATAAAGTAAGCAAACTGCCTTCATGTGTATTCTGCACCCCCGCTTCCTTTCCCAAACTAGTAGCCTCCTCATTTCCATAATTTTTAAAACTTGCTTGCTCATACCAAGATGGTACTGAAGAGATCCCAAATTGCATTTCCTCTTGGATGCTACTTAGAGCATCCTTATCTGCTTCATAATTAGCATTCCCACTGGTTCCGAAGCTAAATTTTCCATCAAGTGGATACTCACCAACTGAGCTGGGTGCAATTTCTTTAACTTCTTCCTGATCTCCATGAGCGGTTAGCATGTTCCTTCTGGATTCTTTGATTTGATTGGACCATGTTTCTGTAGAAATTGATGGAATGGGCACATTGCCAACATTCTCAAAGGATAGGACTTCAAAATTACCATGCTGCTTGACTCTGATTGCACTATAATTCTCCTGTCCGACAGGCCTTGAGCGAAATCCAAATACAGAGTCATCATCCACAAACTTCTCAGCATCGCGTTTGAGTTCATTCATTGACTGACAGAAATGCTCATCATTTACAACAATATCACATGCTTTCACCTTATCATCTGAACCAAATAAACCAGTTTCAAAGACTCTGTCTTGTTTGGAATCCTCCAAGGTAACAGAATTTTTAATTTCCTTGCTAACACCAGCTACTGTTTCAGTAAATGGAAAAGATGAATGCACAGGAGAACATTTCCCCTGCACATTGCAACCATCGCCAGATATTCCAGCAACACTATCAGGGATATGCGCACGAACAGAACCTCCCTTGAAATTTTTGTTCTCATTGTTAGACAAGGGAAACTCATAAACTTTGGAAGTTTCACCCATATTATTGCCTATTGAACCTAATGATCCTTTCAACATAACCTCTCTAACAGGTTGTTGGCAAAAAGAACTGGGGTCAACACACACTCCCACATCAACAGATAGTGATTCTTCAGTACTTTTCACATGGTTTCTCTCATGAGCTCCAATATGATCATTCAAATTATTCACTTCATTAAATGTATTGCACGTGAACAGGTGTTCATAGTTTCCCTCTTTAACTATTACCACATCATTGAGGGGCAGATCATTCTTGCACATCTTTTCCCGATGAAGAGATGACTGGTGGTGCAATAGATCATCCTTCTCACTGAAAGTCATTTTGCACTCATCGCAATGTAAAAATTTTCCCACTTTGTCCTCTGGCTGATCACCAGCATCCAATGTGACTTGCATTTCATGATTAGAAGATGTCGAACTAACAACAAGTGATGCACGGAAAATCGGGTTTTTCTTTCTTTTGTCATCTTGTTTTTTAACATTTGCAATCTGTAAAATATTCCAAGAACAAATCAATAAACAAAAAGAAAGCATACACAGGGACCTTGAAAGAAAGAAATAGTAAACACAGGGTAACTTACACTAACAGAAGACAAGCTGTTAGAATCATTAATACTCTGATTATTCTCAGCACAATTAACCTTATTCATATCTCGGACACAATGAAGAGAGAGCAAGTATGAAGAAATATCCTTGCATGATACAAACTGCCGTCCACTGGGGCTGGAAGGATATCACCAAATTACCAATAACACAATAAAAATTTAAACACCACAAAAAATTAAATAAATAAATAAATAAAACAACTGAAATATGTTATCAATGAAATCAGAGGTATGCCAAAATTACAAGTCACATTCTATCGAAACAGATGAGCTTTTTAGAATCAACAAAATGTTTTGTATAGCCTCATTTATATATCTGGAGTGAAGCCAAGCGGTTGAGATCTTTTCAGGAACTAACAAAACTATCAGGCAAATGCTAACTTTCACTTGCCAAATTAAGAAAATGTTCTTGGTACAGGTTCTTCAAACGCTTTAAAATGCTTTTAAACTATTATAAAAACAATAAAACCATTTAGGGAAAAAAAATAATAGATAATTAAAGAGCAATAAATATATTCCGTCCACTCTATGAACAAGAGATTTCCATTCTTGAAAATAATTTGTGCCTAAGTAACAAACACCAAGAAGAACGGAAGGTCTAGGAAACATAATGCATCTTGAATTATTATTTTGGCATCTCCCTCACCAAATCACCGACATTATGGATCTCCTAGAGAAGGATGAAAATAAGAAGGGCACAATGGGTCTTCCAAGAGAAGGGAAATGGAAATTAGTAAGAGAAAAAAGACTTAGAATCATAGTCTAATTGATTATACAGGCCCATTTTACATGTATTAGAATTTTATTCATGGACAAAACTTTAAATGGAACCATTTTTCTCAGGCCGTGAGAGGAGAAAGAAATAAGAAAGATCATTACAGCTTAAATGTGATGCAAGCATTTCTAATAAAATTCATGCATCAAGGGAAGGATGAAGGGCGATGCTTTGTTTAGAAAATTCTTTACCCAGTTTTTACTATTGTGGCACCAAATTGAGACAAACTCTAAATACCATATATGACCTCAAAAAATAAACAACAGCGGGGTTAAGGTCAGCCATAACCAACAAATAAGGAAGGAAGGGAGAGTCTTGCCTGTACAACTCAGGGACCTCTATCTGCTATGTAAGAATTGGTCAATTTTGTTCATGAAATTCATTAATAAGTGAAACATTAATCTAATGGAAGAGCAAGTTACAAACTATGTACTACCCCAATCATTTAACTTATCAGCGGCTCGCATACAAAATTTTGATGCCCATTTCCCATGTCCGACAAGCACACATTAATGGCGAAGATATTTTTGCAAGTCTATTTAGGCCTCATCTATCCTTCCACAGTAGGAGCGTCTTCAAAAGGTTCTTTATTAGTCACGTGTCTTTATTATAGAGAGTCAATCATCTTTTTGAGGAATCCAACAAACTCTCTATATACAAAAATTAAATTAAAGAGTCGATTTGACAATCTAAATGTTGAGGGTCAGACCTCTCTCTATACTTTTAGTGATTTCATTTACTATTTCCCAACTTTTTATGCACCATTATCATTATATATTAATTGGTAATTTTCAAAAGAGAGAAAGTAATAAATTAAAAAATGGAAAACTAGGTAAAAGAAAAAAAGAGGGAAAATTTTATTTTACAATAAACTTATATTTTCGTTTAGCATTGATTTAGAATTTTACTATTGAAATCTTTTGAAATTGAGTAATGGTTATTTGTTGTACTAAGATAACTTTGGTTCATATTTTGTATTACTAGTGCAAACAAAATAACAATTAATGTGCAAAAAAGGGCATATAATAGCTATAAAACAAATTCAACATTAACCTCATAAAACATTCTCACAAATTGCAGATTCTTTTAAATAATATTTAATAATAAAAAATTCTCCTTTTATATTCCACATACAAAATGGGACTTCACATGTCCGACATGCACGTTTCATTAAGATATTATAAGAAAAAACATAAGACCATGTTGTGTGTCACACATGTGTCCCATCCAATTCAGGCTGTATCCGTGTTTAATGTGCATCAAACATTGACACTCTACCCTAGAGAGTTTTAGTACTTCACTAGAAACCGCTATTTCATTAACATATGTTTGGATTTTCTAACTGCAAAAAATAGAAGTGCATGTCTTTATTTCTCTCCTAAATGATTTATTTATCCACCCATCGAATTCTTTTCGTCCATTTGATCAGCATTCTGTAGTCCTTTTTAAGCCATTTTCTACAATACGTGCAAGCCCTAGATCATGTATAATGGTTTAGAGATAATTTTCAATTGTCAAACACATAAAAAATTTTTGCCTTGCCTAAGTGCTTCATCATGCACAATGGCAGTCTTCCTAGAGTTCCATCACGAAAGTCTTAAAAATCACACCATCTATTCTTAGTGAATTTTAATTTATTAAGAATAATGCCGAGCACATGGCAACACTTAACAGCGTACCTGTACTCTACATTATTCCATGCTTGTTAATGAACATCAAGGCATACATTGCGATTTTCACGATCATCAAAAAGTAATCCAAATCTAATCAAATATATTAGCTGTCTTTTTCCTAGAGCATCTAGATTCACCAATTGCAACACACAATGCAAACAAGAACATGTAAATTAAGTAACAGTGTCGTTCGAATAAGAACCTTTGGTAACGACTACAATACAACCACACGTGTCCTTTCTTCTTCTTGAGAGAGAGTAAGAGCTTCCAACCAATTGGCAACACGCTCCCGAACACACTTGCATCTACAATCCTCCTCTTCTTCCTGCTACTTCCCCACTTCCCATCCAATCCTTCCAAAAACCTCACTAAATCCTCTTTACCGTTCAAGCCTTCTGTCCTCTGTTTAATTTCCTCTGCATAAGGATTCTCCACTGTCCCCAAAGCCACCAAATCCACTTTCACCCCATCCCTATTCAATAACGCCTTCCTATCTCTATCCACATCCCCAAAATTCTCACTCATAATCGAACCACTCTTATTATTATTACCATCATAAGAATCAACATTAGCATTAACCACAAGAGTCGAGTTGGCATCGTTCTTCACCATTTCAAGTTGACAGGGGCGACCCCTTTTCCGTTTATGGTTAACAGGCACCACATTGGACGAGGATGAGGAGGGAAATGACGATAATTGTTGGGGGAGGGAATAATTGTAATCTATTTTAACAGGGACTACGTCTTCAGGGTTGGAGTTGGAAACAAATAATTGCTTAAGTAAAGCGATAATCTGGGGGTTTTCTTCCTTCTCTGGAACAGAATTACCATTATTACAGTTCGTAACGGCTGTAGGGCGGAAATGAGGAGTGCGGCGCCGAGGGGCTGATGAAGCGGCGGACGAGGAAGAGGAGGCAGGAGCGAGACGATAGCGGGAATAAGTCTGTTTGCGGGAGCCAGCGGACTCATTGAAGACGCTCCGGTCGATTTTTGGAACTGCCACATCGTCACAGCGGAGGGGGCCGACGGCGGAGGAAGAGCATTGAGAGAGGGAATAAAGTTCGGATTGGGATAGTAACCGGATATCTACAATGGGTATTGAGTCTGCTTGGAGAGGGACATCGTCAGCGGTGGCGGAGGTGACAATAGAGGTGGAATCGACGGTGGCGGAGGCCATGTTAAATGGTTGGAAATGACAGAGAGGATCGTACGGATTATTCAAGGGAAATTTGCTGGGATAGCCATTTTGTTTAAAAAGGCCTTTGACCAATTTCATAAAAATAAAAGAAATTTTATTTGCATAAATATCTCAAAAGTCCACTTTATCCTCCTATTTAGCCCTGTTTTCATCATTTGACCAATTAAAGAGTTTTGATACGTGTTGAAGAATGTATAGTTAAAAGGTAAAGAAATTAAATTAATTTGTATTTAAAATTTTTTATTGTGTGAATATGTAAAAAATAATATTATAACAAACAATTTAAAATTTTAAAGGTCATCAAAGAGGCCCTTAATAACCAAATGAAAGAATGATCTTTCCTTTTCCTTCCCCAAATTCTCAATTACAAAATCAAATCTTCTTCCTTCTTCAAATTCCCGAACACTTCTCATAGAAGTCAAAAATAATATCTTCTCATTCTTCTTTTTCTAAGGCTAAAGATAGTGCAGAGTTAGTGCAAAGTTTTAAAATGAACAATTTTGCTTGTCAAAGGTTGAATTCAAAATCTAGCCTCTATGTTTCCAAAAAGTGACGAGTTTACGGTTAGAAAAATCAATGTAAGCTTTCAAACCAGTAAGGAGTTCTTTGTATAGCGTTCAAACTGTGTTCAATTTCATTTGTGCATATTTTTCTTCTTCTTCTTGTTGAAATCCTCTATTGAGTTTTTAAATTTATTGATTTTGACTCTATGTTAAAGATTAATTTTTTTGATATCATAACAAGCACTTTCTTTAACCTAAACGAATTCATATTCGCTTATTTCAATTAAGATCACATGAGAGTTTCTATGTTGTATATATATGTACACATTAACGGATTACAGTCGAGCTATAGGCTACTCAGCCTGAGCTCAATACCATAATCGAAGGAGTCCTCAAATGTTTGAGTTGAACTTTTAATAAGCTCTTAATGAGCTAACTCCAAGTCTAGCTTAAGGATCATTAGCCTTCTGTTAACACTCCAATGTGTGTGTGTGTGTGTGTGTGTGTGTGTGTGTGTGTGTGTGTGTATAACTCAACAGAAAGAGAAATGGAATTCGTGAATTATCCAATGTGATAACCAAATAGAAAATTGGACAAGGAAGCCCTTCGCACTACCATTTCCAGATACTGAATTAATTTTTCCATTTGTCCAGTTCAAAAGATAAAAAATTCAATCTTTCCACAATTTTATTAGCACAAAATAAAGAAGACCCACATACAATTCAAACATAATATATGTGGCTTCAATTCAAGAACATGTTCTTGTTTCTTTGTAGCATTAATCTTGAAGTTTTTGGAAAGTGAGCAAAAAATTGAATTGAAAAATAGGTACTTTTGATTGTACAATTTATGCATACAGTTGTTCTAATATTTGTAAATATTTTACAATTTGTAGTGCTGCAAAGAAGATTCAAGTTGACACTACAATTATAACATGATGGTGCAAGTAGTACAAGATGTTTATGAGAACCTAGATACAAATTACAAAAAAACTCAACATGAGCTATTTCGAATCTCTTTTTAGATTGAGGGATATAATGTTAGCTTCACAGGTTGTACATCAATTATTATTGTAAAAAATAAAGATAAGCAAAAAAGAAGAAGTGTGGTTTAAGATAAGAGATAAACGAGCAAGATTTGGATTTGAAGAATTTGTTTTAGTAACGAGTTTAATTGCGATGATGATAACAAAGTAGATAAGACCTTGGGAACGGAGTACTAGATCTTGAAAGAGTATTTTAAGAAAAGTGGGAAAGATTACGAAGGGATATGCGTTCAATGCATTTGTAAGTTGCAAAAAAAGAAAGAGCAACAAGTATAAATTGGAATTGATCGTAATCTTGATATACATCCTGTGGGCTACGAAGGAAAACATTACATCAATTTATGGTGGCTGAACTTAGTAGATGATCTAGACAAATTTGAGACATATTCATGGGAAAGTTTTTATTTGAATATATAATAAGATGAATTCAAACGTGAAATGTGAGGTAAATAAAAAAATTCGAATGTTGGAGGAGAGTTACATTGTTGATATTCGTTGCACGGCTTTCCCCTCGTTATAATGGTATGAACAAAAATACACTTGAATAGTATTATTTTTTTATATATAAATTTGTGTCGTAGGACAATAATGTTTGTTTTACAATAGATTTTGAAAGTTGAAGTAATTCCAACTTTGGGAATGAAGTTTGATATGAAATATTTAAATGTAGTTCCAAGAATGGTCATTTGGAAAATGCTGAAGAGATTAGCGTCTACCACTATTGATAATGTGTTGAAATCGAAAGAGGTAAAATTACCATTTTTTTACGTTTAATGTGGACAAATTTTGGAATTAGCTTAGTGAATGACAATGATTTGCACAATTTTATATTCGCAGTTGGAGGTCAATTATACATTGATTTCCACCGAAACCGAACTTTAAGTGATCTATTGGAAAGAGTTAACATCGATCGTGGAAGAAGATGAGAGTGCTTCAAACCATTCCAAATGAGATGACGTCGAGCATGATGCCAAGCCACATTATACATTCCACCAACACTCTCTTAGAGCATCTCAAAAATCACCGGTATCTCATGAGATCGACATAGTGGATTTATTGAGAATGGAAATGAAAAAACTTGAGGAAAGGCTAAAAGCAATCATACCAATTCGATTTGATCAGGTGGAGAAAAAGCTTGAAAGGTTAGTTGAATTGACTATGGCCAGTCGATTTCATTAAAAAAATGATGTTCAGTTTCATGCCATTACATACAAATTTAAAAAAAAAAATTAGGTTTCTAATTGTTGGTACTTCAACATATAGGTGACAGTATACAATCGATGAGGTGGGATGTAATTCACCAAAAGGACTAGGATATCGTCCAATGAGAAAAACACACTTATTGTGTTCTCCTTTCATGGACCTGAGAAAGAGGAGAAAGTTGTTGAACATTGATGTCTATGATCCTTACCAAGAAGTGGATCCCTTGAAGGTTGAGACTTTTTACAAATGGATAGATACTGCATTTTCTAGGTAAACTATTATATATAGTTGCAAGTACATGTAAAAGTGATGATATTATTACGTAAATATGCACTAAAGTCACGCAAAAAATTTGATCTGCATTTTGAATGAGGATGGTTAGATTACTGATAGTGTAACTAATTGAACTTTAATGATTTTACGATACTGTTACACATGCATTCAATTTTTATTAATTAGTTTCTTTGTGTAAACTATGGACGAGGCCCCATACTAGATATAAGAAAGGGCTTTCAAAAATTTCAATCTATTCCGGTAAGGTTGTTGTATATTGGATACTTACATCTATCAATTTATTTTCAATGCATATGGCCAGTTGTAATCGAGTAAAGAGAGTAAGAGTTTGATCAATTATGTGAAAAGGGTTACTTCGAAGCATGGTAAACTTGGAAGGACTACAAAGATTTGTATATTCTTTACTGTACTTACAACCATTAGTTTGCATTTCAAATCGAATTGGAGAACGAATAATTTTTATGTTATTTTGTGGATTTAATACTAAAACAATATGGATTTGTACTAAAACAATTTGGATTCTTTACGTTATTTTTGTGGGTTTGATACTATAATGACATCATTGTCATTTTATACGAGAAAAAAAATCTATGATGTTGTCGTTATATTTTCAACAAAAATGAGTACAACATCATTCCGAAAGAACGGAATCTATATCTATAACTTTGTGATTTATAGAACCAAGTCCATGATTGATGATTCTCCGAATGAACTACTCTCCATGCTCGTAAAAATATTTGAAAATTTGTATCCTGACAAGTTGTTACGAATAGAGTGCTTTTATTCTCGATTTCAAGAATGTACTAGCTACAAATATTACCCTTCGAATTGAATTGAGGAATCCATGTATAATTGGTTTCAATACTATAAAAAAGTACTTGAAGCATCAATCATCAGTAGTATGAGTGAATGTCAATGTACCAAGGTTTTATATCTCTAAAATGTGACAATATGCTGGCAATTTCGCATAACTTTCATGGGATTTTCCACGGATCAATCCACAAGCAAAATGTTTAACCATATAGGCTTCTGTGTAACTTACGGTTATGCCGAACTCTTTACGAATTTTATTAATGATATCCCGTGGTTTGTAAACTCGTTTGACATTGTGACACTTAGGGGCAATGTGGTTTCTAATGATCATATATGAAGCATAGATACAGTCTCTGCAACGAATGCTCATGGAGTAAGAATAATGACTATTATACTTTTGAACTTTGAAAATAGGACTTTCTAAGATATTGAGTGCTCACAAGCGCCACTTACATTTTCATTGATACAAACAATTGTACAAATGCTCTTATTCGACTTCTTAACTTTGTATTCAAAGTGACACGTCATAGCCAGCAATTGCAATTTTGATATTATGTCATATTTTGATGTAAATAACTGGTTGACTTACACATCTTCATTTTTCAAAATTCTTATGGATGTCTCACAATGGAGCAAACTTGCATTTGTAGATACAATCCGACTATATTCAACATTATTATCATTCGATACAGTCTAACTATAAGGTTCATCTATGTGTAACTTCACACAGTTGTAATCTACTGCAAGAGAATTATTGTTGACATCCACTCTTTGAGAACTATCTTCACTTACCTCAAAATCATTACAATGTTCAAATATTCCATCGCCATTATCATGATTACCATCGTTGTCCGTTCGAACATATCCCTCCTTGTTGTTCATATTTGTAATTTGTTCTCTACCGTCTATTAGTAATAAGCATTATTGATCACTAGAATCTTCTTGATTTTCAACAAATTCATTTGAAGGGGTTACACAAAGAAAAGTTTCTTTACGGACAAATAGAAATCACTTCACATTGTTATCACAATCAATTATAGTTGGAACAGCTAGAGCTTTAGACGTTATAAGGACAAGAGCTTGAATCTCCATTTTGTATAACGTTGTATCGATGTTTAACATCTCTTTGAGTTTATCATACAATTCCACATAAGAAATAGTATTCACAACACGAGTAGACGTTGTTTTTCCTTTGCTAT